GAGTTGGGTTTGTGAGAGTTGGGTTTGTGAGAGTTGGGTTCGCGGAGGGAGATGCTACGCCACCGGCCTAGGCTGCCATCATATCACACCCTCTGCCCACTCTCCGCCTTCTCTAGAAAGCGAGGTGTGGTCTTTTGAGCCAGCAGATCCTCACCGCCTACCATATAATCTGGTTTCAGCCTGAGCAGATATTTTATACCTCGGGTAGTATATTTGTGCCTCAGAAAAATGCATATTCTAATCGGGAAGGCAATAGAGATTCTGCATTACTAAGAGCAGGCCTTACCTTCTCAGGAATAAGCTTAACTTTCAAGGTAGGCGGCAGGGTGTGGCATGAACAAAGGCTGGTGTAGAGACTTTCTGCCTGGTATGGCGGTAGTGCCTCCCAAGAAGCCTTCTACATAGAAGCTCATGGGATACTGTACAATTTTCTTTTGAATAATAAAATTACTATGAAAAGAACGCATCGTGTTCAATCTCCAACTGACTCATTGCAGCCTGAGTATATACTAATTCTAGTTCGTCTTGTTGGTAATATATGTCACCGCGCCCTGCCCACCTACTCCTTCTGATGGTCTACTTCAGGATCCAATTCTTTGCAACCGCGTACCTGTGCGCGAATGTATGCCACTATCAACGAAAAACGGATGTTTCGAATAATGTAAAGATTAGCTAGTCAGGGTACGGCCGGCCGATGTATTCCATGGTAGATACAAGGACAAAATTGATATGTGCCTCATTAAGCGAATGTGGAACTGGAGTATCCATCTGAGACTGAAAATTGATCTCAGACGATGTCGGAAGTACATCGAGAGTCTCTATCATAAGATTGACTGCGTAAGTAAGGGATTGCACTGTTTTAACCAAAGGCATCCATGCTAAGCGTTTGCCAGACCGGAACAGCTCAATATGGTCATATGCCATCTGGAAGATACCATGAAGGTTATAGAGCTTGGGGGTCAGAAAAATCGAGGCTCGGTCCTCCAAGCAACTGGAGAGCCATCTTTTTCGAAGATAGGCCAACACTTCAATGAGGTTTGATAACAGGGGTTGGAGATGGGG